ATGTACATTTGATTTTTTAAATAGCCTTTCCAAAGAAATGAGGGCATGATTATTGTACAAATACTGTGACTGATTTAATTTGATGTACAAAGCAGGCTGAGTTCTTAAGGATAAAAATATTTGATGGCACTCATTCTTGTGTTTTGAATCTTTTATTTCTGAAAACACTCAAACAGCTTACAAAGTACTGAGTAGGTGATGGTGACCCAACTTGTAGGCTAAATGAGTATTTGTTTAAATCTGTACAGTTTCAAGTGTTTACTTATACAAAAAGTGTACATATTTTCAAATTAATTTAAGATGCTTTATATTATTTGGCTAGAAATTGCTGTTTTTAATAAATGTGAATTTTTAAAAAAATAAAGATTTTTGCTTCCTATTCTGTCCTTATATGTCTGTGTATGGATTCTTCTTAAAAACAAATTTTTAATTGAAATTTTTATTGAGCTAGCTTGTGATTCACATAGAGTTTTAAGAAGTAACACAGGGAGATCCCGTGTCCCTTTTCCCCAGTTCCTCCCAGTGGTAACATCTTGTGAAAGTAGAACACATCACAAGCAGGGTGTCAACCCTGGTACACTCCACCACTGGGCTGTTCACGCTTGCCCAGTTTTACTTGGGCTGTATGGATTTTTTTGTAAGAATATTATTGTGGAAAGACATTTTTTTTAAGCCTCTTAATGCTTCATTAGTTGGAAGGTAATTTAATGTTAGGGAAGTAGCAATAAAAATGAGTTTTTATTTTCTCCCTGGTTTAACAATCCCATATCTTTATTTTTTTATTTTTATTTTTTTAAAGATTTTATTTATTCATGAGAAAGAGAGAGAGAGAGAGAGAGGCAGAGATACAGACAGAGGGAGAAGCAGGCTCCATGCAGGGAGCCCCACGTTGGACTCGATCCCGGGTCTCCAGGATCATGCCCTGGGCCAAAGGCAGGTGCTAAACCCTGGCCACCCTGAGCCAGGGATCCCCACCAATCCCGTATCTGTAAATTCTCTTCTGCTATTTATTACCTTACAAGAAAGAATAGTCAACCTTCGGGCCGTAGAGAATCTTTCATTGGTTGGTGAGAGAATGTTGCTTCTCAGAAAAGAGGAACTTTGTCACTTGCTCTCTGGAGCACTTCTGTCCTGCAGGTGGCTTGGCCAGCAGCTTGTCCATCTGCCAGCATGGGGCCCCTGCCCATCTGTGTTTCGGGCCTCGACTCCCCACTCCTCGTCCTCTGGACCTGTCCAGGTCCCTCCGAGTGCACACAACAGGAGACATCACTGTCACTTGGCAGGAAAGGGCTCTGCCCAAAGGAAATGGGGGACTGGGTAGGGACAGACCAGAGGCTCAGAGAACCAGAGGGATAAGAGCAGGAAATACCACGGATGTATATAGTTCTTCAAAGCAGGAGATAGTGTAGACCCCAGTGCTGTGGCAGGGTCCTGGTGTCACCACCACAACCACATTCGTCTTGGGACAGGTTCAGGAAGACAGTCTCTGTGCCAGCTATTGATTTACAGCCTCTCAGCTCAAGACTCTGGAACCGGACCCTGAGAACATTGCTCCTTTGCAAGCAGGTGCAAAGTTAGGCTTTGTAGGGTGCTGGAGGTACGCTGCCGGGCACGGGGAAAGGGGACCCTGTTGCTCAAACCTCTTTCTTTCCTTCTGCACGGCAGTTGTGGCCGCGTGTGGGGGTCTGGGGACACTCGCTGTACAGTGCTCTTCCTGGGGTCCTCGTGGGAAGCTTGCAGCTCCCCAGCACTCCAGTGAAATTCCCCACCAGCCAGCGGGCCACAGCTCCAGCTCTGTCCTCAGCCTTGGTGCTGCGGGGGGGGGGGGGGGGGGCTCTTGAGGTTCTTCCCTCTGTCCTGGGTACTCGCAGCCTGTCCCTCACCTCCACTCCTCTTCGTTTTGCAGTCCCTTCCCTCTCAGCCAGGGACTCTGCTTTGCTGTGCTTCTCCACAAAGCCGCACTTTTGTGGTTTTGCTACTGCTTGCTCTGATGTCTCTGTAGTCCCCCTGGAGGCAGACAACCTGTTCTTTCCTCTTTGGGCCTTGAGCACTTGGTGGAAGCTCAGTGTGTATTTGCTGCATGCCCTAATTAGTGACTGAATTAATTAGTAATGTTGTGGGCACTGGACAAGGTTCCATTTGCCTCCGGGTGCTCACTGATTGTCACTCAGCAGGGAACCCTTGGGTTGTGTGCAACTGAACAGGTTGGTATTCCTAAACAGCCCAACTTAGTTCATTTTCGTTTTCAGGAGAAGCACCTCTTCCTGCCAAGTCACTGAAGATAGAATGATGGGAAGGGCCCAGGGTATGCGGCGCAGAGGGTGCTACAGGTGGAGGTGGAATTATGCCCTCCCACCCCCACCCCGCACATTCTTATGTTGGAGTCCTAACCCCAGTACCTGGGAACGTGATCTTATTTGGAAATAGGCTGTTGCGGATGTAATGAGTCAAGATGAGGCCCTGCCGAGGCACACCAGGGCCTATCCAGTGTGGCTGGTGTCCCTATAAATAAAGGACTTTGAGGCAGGGACGCAGGGAGAAGGCCGGGTGAGGTCTGGGGTGTGCTGCCTCAAGTCCAGTACCCACGAGAAGCGGGCGAGGCTGGAACAAACACAGCCCCCCCCTCCCGCGCCCCTGGAGGGCTCCAGAAGCACGCCCAGCAGGTTAGTGTTGTGGCGGGCACCCAGCGTGGGCCTCCCGCGGACGTGCGGAGGGTGGGATCTCCATCGCGCCACCTCCCGGCCACCCGGATGGCGGCCTGGTTTCCTTCCCAGTCTGGGAGGTGATTCGCTTTCCCTTGTGCAAAGCCCCTGATTACCGTGTGACTGTCCCGTTTCAGGTGACGCTGGTGCAGAGCCCCCGTTACTCCTGTGTGAAGTCTCTGGTCTTTTGAATGTCGGCAGCCAAAGATTCTAAAAAGGGGGCTGCCCAAACCAAACACCTCTGCGAGGGCACCTGGGGCCGGAGGGGGGAGAGGGGGGGCTCAGCGGGGGAGCATCCGCCTTCGGCCCAGGGCGTGACCCCGGGGTCCCGGGATCGAGTCCCGCGTCGGGCTCCTTGCGTGGAGCCCGCTTCTCCCTCTGCCTGTGTCTCTGCCTCTCTCTCTCACAAAAAAAAAAAAAAAAAAACCACAAAAACAAAACAAAACCTCAAAACCCCCTCCGCGAGGCCGCCTGCTGACCATCAGCTCCGCAAGTTCGTGAACAGGTCCTCGCCCTCGTGAGAGGAGGAAGGTCGGCGTGGGAACAGGCTGGAGCTCGCGAGAACCCACGCGGCGAAGGCCGAGCGCAGGGGCTTGTGGGCGGAGGCGCTGCTTCCGCTCGCCCCCCCCCCCCCGGTGTGTGCGTCTGTGAGGTGAGCCCGGTGACCGCCCTCCTGTCACAGGTAAGGAGACGGGCTGGCTGCTCGGCCCAAGTGGGCACCGCTCGCGGGCGGGGGTGGTGGCCCCCTCGCCGGGGGGCGTGCCCGCGGCCCTCCGTGGCCCTCCACGGTCCTCCGCGGGCCTGAGGACACGACCGGGCCAGCGCGGCGACGGCCACAGGCGTGGGGGGGGGGGAGGGGAGGACTTGCTTGTTGCCGAGACCTTCTTAAAAGCTTCCGCCTCCAGCGGCTGGTAAGGGCTTGTGTGCCCTGCGGCGTCGGGCTCCTGCCTTGCACGGCGGCGGCGTGAGGAGAGCAGGGGAGCCGGGCCTCGAAGGTGGCGGCGGGCTCCGGGGTCGCGGTCGGGGTCACGGCCGGTTGCCAGGGCTGACTGCGAGGAAGGGGTTTCCCTTCCCGTCTTGGTTTAGGGCTGCGGCGCGGGTCATCCTGGGAAGTTGGCGGTGTCGCAGGCAGCGTCAAGGCCACACCATGTGGGGCTGCCTGGCGCCCGAGTGCCCGCTTTTTCTAGAAACTTCTGCTTGCACCCGGTGCGCGGGCGTCAAGACCTAACCCCGCCCTTCCGGCCCACGTGGGGCTGCGCCCGGAGTGGCCTCCTGAGGAAGCCGGTTGGTGACCTCTGGGGTCTTGCGGCGACGTCGGGGAAGCAAAGCCACGTGACGTGAGGCGCGCAGACAGGGCGTCTTCAGGACGAGGACCACGAAGGTACCCCTAGCTTTCGGCGGCCTCCCGCGCCCCGATCCTTTCCTGGGACCCACTGCACCTTCCTTCCAGGTGACTCATTTCCTGTTTTCCTTTACCTGCGCGAGTTGGGGACTGTCACCCGTGAGCAGAAAGGCCCCAACTAGGCAGCCCGGGTGGCTCAGCGGTTTAGCGCCGCCTTCAGCCCAGGGCCTGATCCTGGAGATCCAGGATCGAGTCCCACGTCAGGCTCCCGGCATGGAGCCTGTTTCTCCCTCTGCCTGTGTCTTTGCTTCTCTCTCTCTAAATAAATCTTTAAAAAAAAAAAAAAAAGGCTCCAACTAGCGGAAGGTTTTTTTTTTTTTTTTAGCATGTGTCCTTTCGGGCTCTCGACCAGCCCCCGGTGTAGGGGACCTGCTGCAGCCTGATGTTGGCTTGCCGTGTGTGGGTCTCCCTCCGCCTGGGAAGGCGTGGGAGACGGGTGTTTGTGATGAGGGGAGGGTCACTGAGAACCTCCGGGGATATCTAGACCCCATTTTGCTGACGAGGAAACTGAGGCATAAAGCTACTTGTCCAAGGCCACATAGCCAACAACTGGCAGAGGTAGGCCTTGAGACAGCCTGGGTCCTGAGTCAACCCTAGTACAGGAAGGCTGCAAAAGAGCTTCTGCGTTCAGGTGACCAGTGGAAGCACGCGGGACAGGTGTTGACATGTATTGCTGCCTCCTGAAGCGGCTTGCTTCCGGAGCTCTCAGGTCAGGGCTGATTACGTTTTTTTTCTGCGGCCAGCCACAGATTGTTTTCTCAAACCAAGGAGCTGTGTTAGGTCCAAATTACAAATCAATACTCAAAAGACATAAATAGGGCTTTGGGGTTTTCCTTGGTGCTCCTGTTTCCTGAGAGGTTCAGCGGTTGCTGGAGAAGCCCAGTTTGGTGACTGCTTTACTCTGGGAGGTGACGGTTGTTTTTCAGTTCCAGGCGCTGTACTGGCACAATCTGGGCGTCCTCTATGAATTTTTCCAAATCAGGGATGGTCAGGAAGTTGAGGATCTTACTCATTTTCCCCAGGAGGATCTGTATCTTCCGAGCAGTTGAACCACATTCTACCTCCAGGATGGCTTTCTGCCTCATTTCACTCAGCACCTCTGGCATTATGAACTGTGGGAATTCACAGAAGGCTCGGTGAGGACACTTGCTGCCTGGACATCGTGCTTTCCACCCCAGGATGAGGCCCCTTGACAGGACCAAATCTTCCCTGCAATGTCTCTCCAGGGCAAATCTATGCTCCCAGCCCTCCCACGGGCATCACTTCACTCATATGGCCTGGGCCTGTGACCGCACTGCTACAGAGATGGGAGCTGAGGCCACACACTCATGCCTGACCCCTAACCAGAGGGTTACCAGCTCCTGGGCCTCTCTATGGCCTGCCTTGTGTCTTTCTGGGTGTGTCTGGCTTCTCCCTGTGGATTCCTACCACAGGGACAGAGGGAGGCCGAGGCCCTACCACAGCCAAGAAGCCATCCACAGTGTCTGCCAGTGGGTCCCACTTCCAGCTTGGGCTCCCTTGGAGCATGTCTGGATTTTGCTGGGATGAGGCACTGCTCCCCAGGGAAACCACCTCTAGGCAAACTTCTGCCTTGGTTTGTAGCCTATAGAGGCTGAGCAAAGGGCCTCCTGGAGGGAGAAGTAATAAAGGATCATACCAGTATGTTTGGTTTGTGTATCCACCTTATGAAATGTTTTCATGCACACTATCTTATTTAAGCCTTACAACAATGTGGTGTACATTTTATGACAATAATGGCTATAAAAAGTGCATGAGGCCTGCCTTGTATGTTGTAGGAAGTGGAGGGGCTCATATGTTCTTCCCAGGGTCCCCTGGCTGCCTGGCCCAGGTGGACCTGTCACAAGGGTGCTGATTTGCTTCATTTGGGGTCCCTCCTCCAGTGGCCCAGCTCCTGGGACTGCCAGGCCTCTTGGGTTTTCTGCCTGCACCAGTCCTTCCACTGCCCTTCATGGGCACTGGCTTCCTTCCCTGACCCCTTCCATCAGTGGGACCCCACTGTCGTCTAAAGGCCAGTGGCCCAGGTCCTCATATCTTCCCCACCCCACCTGGTCGCTTAGCTCATCACTTCTGTGCAGGGGTGGCCAGTGGATGGCTGGGGACGGTACTGTGTACGTACATGCCTTCTCCCTCCTGGGATAACTGCTCTGGGAAGTCTGGGGTAGCTGAGGAGGTTGGGACACCATTTGGGTTATAAAATGGAGGGCCTTGCTGGGCAAGGGGAACCAGCTGTCCAGATCTGCTTGGAGCTTTCCCAGTTTGAGCATTCAGGTCCTATGTCCTGGAAAACGCCTCAGTCCTGGGCAAGCTAAACCTACCACATTCCCTACTCTCCTTCCCAGTTATTTCATAAAGCTTAATTTTGCCAGAGTCTGCTGTTTGGTTGCTTCCTCCATCACCCTAATTCTCTGTCGGTTTACCTCCCAGGAAACATGTCTGTCTGTCTGTCTCCCCAGGCAGGCAGTCTTACTTTCAGAGACCGCGAATGCCTCTCTGGTGGTCTGTGAACAGAGCCTTCCGTGAATGGGGAAGGGGAGCCAGAGTAGGAGCAGGATCTTGTGTGGGTCTCGGCGGGGCGGGGGGAGCCAAGGACAGCCTATTCCTCTCCTGAACTCTGGGACTAGGGAAGGGTCTCAGAAGCCTGCCTTCTTGTCTACTCAATCAGAACTTCAGGATGCACACTCCCCTTTTGTAGTGGGTTGAACGGTGGCCCCCAAAAGGTACGTCTGACTCCTAATCCCTAGGACCTGTGGAGGTCACTGTATTTGGAGAGACAGTTTTTGCCGATGTAATTAATTGAAGGATCTCAGGGTGAGGTCATCCTGGACTTAGGGTGGGCCCTATATTCGATGTCTGATGTCCTTATAAGAGAAAGGAGAGGGGGACTGGACACCCAGGAGGCACAGAGAAGAAGGCTGTGTGACTGTAGAAGATAGGAGCAATGCCTCCACAAGCCAGTAGACGCCCAGGACCACCAGAAGCTGAGAGGAGCAAGGGAGGATTCACCCCTGGAGCCGGCTGGAGGGAGTGTGGCCCTACTGACACCTGGATTTCAGACTTCTGGCCTCCAGAGCTGTGAGAGAATAAGTTTCTGTTTTAAGCGACCCAGTTTGTGGTAATTTGTCCTGCAGCCCTAGGATATGAACACACTTTGCTACTTTCTTGCCTGGCCTGGGCTGAGCATCCTGAACTTCCAGGGTCTCATTTATGTTGAGATGAGTGTGTTGGGAGAGAAGAGAAGAGGACCCCAGTGGCAGGCCTGCGGTCATAGATTTCCTTCCTCCTGGTTTCTGTTCCTGCCAACTGACAGGGCTGATGGGAGTCAGAGAGAAAACACATGTTGACCTCTTTGGGGTTTTTTGTCTGGCTTGCGGCTGGGCTCCTTGAGGATGTCTGTTTCCTCAGCTCACATCTTGAGGTGCTCAGAAGTTAAATGAACACTTTTGTGGAGCATCAGGTCAGCGAAGGTGGCCGTGTTCTCTGTGGGTTGCAGTGATGCAGAATGTGGCCAAGAGGGAGGCCTGTGGCCTGGCCCAGTGGGTACTGGCCTGGCAGAGGGAGTTGAGACCTTACCTTGTACTTGGTGCCCAGGTTTAAGCACACGTGCTTCTTTTGGTGTCGGAAGCAGAAGGCGATCTTATCCTGGCTCCTTATTTGTACCTTGATGTACCGGTTGATTTTCAAGGAGATGGACTGGACAGGAGGTGCGTGGACATGAAGAGTTAGATTCCACCAGTTCCAGGCCTTCTGGTGTTTGCCTTTGGGGAAGTAGTAACCCAAGTTTTGGCTCATGCTCAACCTAGACCAAGAAGGGATCAAGCAACCATGGCACTTGGCCTCTTGTGCAAGGGGCAGAGCCCCCTCCTGTGGTGTGTGCAGGCCAGCCTCCCTCCCCTGCCTCCTTCCTTCTCTCTGTCCTCCTGGCCTGGGCTCCCCTACCCCTGCTGACCTGCACAGTCACCTGGGAAGCTTTTACAGAATGCAGATCTGCAGGCCCACACCAGATGGACAGAGTGTGAATCCAGAAGGTGAGGGGTCAGCCCTTCCCCAGTCTGAGCATCACCCTTTCCCTTGGGTTTTGATGGGCTGAGATTGAGGGAGAAGATGTGGTATCTCTTGTATGCCTTACCTGGGAATTTTTTTTAAGTGCTTTATTTTAGGCTAGGTCTGATGTCATAAAACTTTTTACTCGTGATTTTATGTATGACTCTGGGCAAGTCACTTATATCCTCTGAATCTAAGTTTCTTTGTCAAGAAAATACAAGTAGTTTCTAATTTCCCTAAGGTCTCTGCTGGCCATGAAAGTGTCATTATGGAGAAGAGGCCCTACAGAATGTGGCCAGATACTATGTGAGATAATTGGCTGAGTTTCTTGCCGCCACTCACTACCTGGTACTTCTTGCATCCAGTAGCTTTTTCTACCCTTCAGACATCAGTTTCTATACAAAAGGCCCTCAGGGCAGGTCAGAGAGCTCTGAGAACAAAGTTGTCACCTAGGAAATAGTGTTTTAAAAACTCAAAGAAAAAAATGAAAAAAAAAAAAAACCAAAAAGCCAAAAAAAAAAAAAAAAAAAAAACAAACCCAAAGCTCCACAAAATAAAAAACTCAAAGAATGTTTCAGAAAATATTATTTAAAACGAAAAAAAAAAGATTTTATTTATTTATTTGTAAGAGACATAGAGAGAGAGAGGCAGAGACACAGGCAGAGGGAGAAGCAGGCTCCATGCAGGGACCGTGATGAGGGACTCGATCCCAGGATCATGAATGACCTGAGCCAAAGGCAGATGCTCAACTCCTGAGCCACTCAGGCAACCTCAGAAAATATTCTTAAGGGGCACCTGGGTGGGATAGTCAGCTAAGCATCTGATTCTTGGTGTCAGCTCAGGTCATGGGATTGAGCCACACGTCAAGCCCTACGTTGGGCTCTGTGTACAGCATGGAGTCTGTTGAAGACTCTCTTCCTCTGTCTCATCCCCATCCCCCATCTCTCTTTCTCTCTCAGATAAATAGATCTTTAAAAAAAATATTCTTAAAAACCAGTTTTGGGAGAGTGAAAATATTTTTTTGGAATTAAAAGCAAAAAGTCTGGTTTTGACTATCAAGAAGAAAGAAAGTATAAAGTTGATGCAAGATGGTAGGCATTTCCCACTCCATGATCACTCAGTGGGGAAGGAGGAAATCCTGAAAAAAATGGAGGACTTACCCCAAAAAGGTGGAGAAAGATTTTGAAGTGGCTGGTAAGGTGGTTTCCACAATTGCCAGAGATGGGAACTTAAGAACTAAGTTCAGTTATCATGAAATATATAGAAGTTTGATTTTTGTGCACAGTACATGCATCTCTGAAGCCCTCACCATACCCTCCTCTCCGAGGCACGTGGGACAGAGGGGCACTGGATCTTTCTAAGGTAATTCTCACCAGGAAGTGTAGAGGACACGGAGCTAATAGGACTGGTCACTGTGAGTCTCACCCTTGGGGAAGCAATGGCAACAAAGACAGAGCGCCTTTCCTGAGGTCAGGGACCTGCCTTGCTGCCATCTTGATACGCATTTCCCCATTTGCAGCATGTGTGGGTCAGAGAAACCAATTCACAAGCAAATGAGGGAGAGACATAACCAGTGAGGGAGGCCGGCCATGTGGACTGGGAATCAAATGTTAACCACACTGCCTCTCTGTGGGGAGGGATGTTTGGGACTCATGACCCAAACTTACCAGATTTCTCCATTTTCATCATAGAAGGTGGCATGGCCACAGTTGTTGATAAGGGCCCGGACACATCTTTCTTCACTGTCTTCCAGAATGATGTGTGTGTGCTCTCTATCTTTTGTGCTGAGGATGAGCATAGCCAGCCTTCCTGACGGGTAGCTGGAAGACAGTTAAGGCACAAGCAGCCCCATGGAGGATGCGGGCCTTGGGAAAACCCACGCCCCAGCCCTGAACCACAGACTTTTGAGGTGCCATATGAGTCAGTGTGAATGTTCCTGGGCTTCAGTGGATACTGTATCTGGCCTGATCCATCAGGAAGGAGAACTTGGAAGACAGTCTCACTGGGATAGAGAATTAATTTTCCATCATGGGCATGCACCTGGGAAGAAAAGATGAGCTTATAAAAAGTGCACAGGGGCTCACTATCCCGATTCAGAGCATGGGGTTGTCACTAGAGTGCTTGGGATCTGTTTACTCTCTGAATGCCCACATTGCCACTCCACCTGTCACTACCCCCACTCCCCATCACTACCACCACCTTGCTGAGGATTCTGGCTAGGAGACTTTTCAGGGCCTTAGTTTACTTGTCTAGATGATGCAGAGGCTGAAATGGATCACTCTTTGTGCATTTTAAATTATCATTTAAATCCTGATGGTTATTGGTTGTTGTTTTACTTTTTTCTTTTCTTTTAAAGATTTTATTTATTTGACAGAGAGCACAAGCAGGGGGAGTAGTAGAGGGATAGGGAGAAGACTCCCTGCTGAGCAGAGTGCCTGAAGCAGAACTCGATCCCAGGACCCCAGCATCATGACCTCAGTGGAAGGCAGACACTTAACTGACTGAGCCACCCAGACACTCCTCCTTTTTTTTTTTTTTTTTGATGAAGATTTTATTTATTGGAACATGAGTTGGGGGATCCCTGGGTGGCGCAGCAGTTTGGCTCCTGCCTTTGGCCCAGGGCATGATCTTGGAGACCCGGGATCGGATCCCACGTCGGGCTCCCTGCATGGAGCCTGCTTCTCCCTCTGCCTGTGTCTCTGCCTCTCTCTCTCTCATTCTGTGTGACTATCATAAATAAATAAAAATTAAAAAAAAAAAAGAAAAAGAACATGAGTTGGGAGGAGGGGTGGGGTGGGGCAGAGGGAGAAGCAGACTCCCCACTGAGGGGTATGTGGACCCCGAGATCTTGACCTGAGCCACCCAGGTGCCCCAGTTATTGGTTTAGTTTTCTAGGGCTGCTGTAACAAAGTAACACCACTGGGCGCTTTAAAGCTAGAGACTTACTGTTTCACAGGTGGGGAGGCCAGAAATCTGAAATCAAGGTGTCAGCACAGTTAGTTCTTTCTGGAGGCTCCAAGGAAGAATTTCTTCAATGCCTCTCTCCTGGGTTTTGGTGATGACATGGGATCCTTGTTCCTTGGCCTGCCTATACATCACTGCAATGTCTACTTCCGTCTTCATGTGCTTTCCCCTGTGTCTCTGTGTCTTCACATGGCCATCTTCTTGGATGAACCAGTCATTCCAGGTTAGGGCCCCGCCCTCCTTTAGCACAGCCTCCTCTTAGCTACATCCTTAGAGACCAGTTTTCCAAATGAGGTTCCATTTGGAGGCACCAGGTTTAGGACTTAAATGTATCTTTTTGTTGGGGGGGGGTGTAATTCAACCCATAACATTAGCATTATCTAGGGTTTTTTAAATTTCAGTTTTAGTAAATTATATTGTTCTAGGACATTGTTTTAGGTAGATTTTCAAAATTTAGTCCTAAAACTGTTGTCATAAGGTGTTTAAGAAAAAACCCTTTATTATCTTCATTCTTTTTATTATGACTAGCTTCTCTCTCTTTTTTTCCTGGATAAACCTCATCTGATGATTTGCCTATTTTACTAGTCTTTCAGAGAGCTGGCTTTTGGTTTGTTTATTCTATTTGTTTCCCACTGTATCAATTTTTAGTCTTATTATTATCCTTTATATACTTTTATCTTCTGTGGGTCTTCTATAGTACTCAAGTTTATTTTTCTAATTCTTTGAATATATTGAGCTCTTTGGTTTTCATCTTTTTTCCTTTTTGAAGGTTTTATTTATTTATTCATGAGAGAGAGGCAGAGGTATAGGCAGAGGGAGAAGCAGGCTCCCTGCGTGGAGCCTGATGTGAGACTCGATCCCAGGACCCTGGAATCACAACCTGAGCCAGAGGCAGATGCTCAACCACTGAGCCACCCAGGTGCCCCTCATCTTTTTTCTTCTTCACAATCCTCCTCCTCTCCTTCTTAATATAAGCATTTAAAGCTATAGCGTTGCTCTCAAAATACCATTTTAGCTGTTTCCCACGTGTAGAGATGTTTACCTTTCACTCCATTTGAAATATTTTTGAATTTCCAATATGATCTCTTCTTTGACACACAAGTTATTTGCAAGTGAGTTTTTAAATTAGCAAATGCATGAATTGCTTTGGGTGATGTTATTATTAAAATTCATTGAGGTAAGAGAGCATAGTCTATGTGATATCAGCTGTTTAGTGTTTGCTGAGGCTTGTTTTATTTTGTGGCCAGTGTGTCATCAATTATTGGAGCTGTTTCACATATGATGATTTCCTTGCGAAGGACACGTGTCCTTGTCTTGCGTTCCCATCTGAGCATTAACACCCAAGTGCCTGGATTATCAAGATGCACTGTTCTCCCACTTCTCGCCCTCGGCTCCCCACCACACCACCCCACCTCACTTGCACCCTGCTCACGCTCTTACTCTTCTGATGTTTCAGTTTCTCTCTCTTTCTGGTGTTGATGATTTCTCTTCCGTTCTTACACACTCTGCTCTGCGTCTGATGCTTTTTACATCTCATCTACATTTCTCAGATGTTTGCAATGGGAAGGTTTTTTGGGTCATCTAGTGTCCCATGTTGCTCTAAATGGAAGTCAGTGGTTCTCCTACTATTATTTTTAATAGTTGAAGACCCCTTTGTTCAAGAAAGCTTACAGCAGAATGCCCAAATCTAGGACAATCAAAAAAAAAAGACAACCATCTGAAGAGCTGGGGCTGTGGACACCTTAGGGCATGTCTTGGAATGCCTGGGAACATAACCATCTGGGTGAAAACCACTCCTCTTGAGGTTACAAAGGTCTGAAAACTGGCTTCATCCTCACACCCACTGAAGTGAACACTTTATTTCTAGCACGAGGACCCTACGAAGTAGGCGTGATCATTGGCTCCCCTTAAGGTGAGGCTAAGGAACTTACACAAATTTATCCAGTGGGAGGAGAGCCAGAGCTCAGCCAGAGCCCACCCTTGCCCGCAGGCTTGAGGAACATGCCACCTCCAACCATTAAGCTCCTAGCTACTTTCCACAGTCAATCTACAAATCACTGCTCTTTTTCCCTTTACCCTAAAAAAAAGTGCTTTGTAAAGACATTTGGGGTTGGTTCGTTCCTGATGGCCTGTAGGAAGTTTCTGGATATTGCTTACAGGAGAAGATATTTGTATTTTAGGTCTTATTTTCAGACATTCCCTGAAAGCCAGACTTTATCGAGATGCTTTCTGCCTGTCAAATTCAATTGTCATGTAATGACGTTTTCCTAGTGATGAGGACCCCACGGGTAAAGCAAAATCTCTGACGTAGAGGTGGAGTGGTCACATTTTCCCTCACTGGGAATTATATAAGTGGTTTATCTAAATAAACCCAAATCTCACCTCTGTTTGCATGGGGACAGACCAAGTATGAAACTAGGAGCTAACAGGTAAGAGAGAAGGGACTCCATATCTGGCCCTTCCTTCAGTTCTGCTGTAGAGGAAACTTGGCCTCTCAGGCAGAGCTCTGTGCTGTGAAAGAACTCCTGTCTGTCCCTGAGCCCTCCCGCCTGCTGTGGAGCTGCTGCTCCTGGGCTGGCCAGGCTGGACTTGGCCTGGAGGTCAGCACACACTTAAAAACAGGGTTACCTGACTTAGCAAGCTACCTAGAATTTAGTGCCCGTCTGTAAAAAGAAAAAAAAAAACCAGTGTCCCATTCCTTGTGGGCCTTTTGGGCAGCCTGACGTGTGTGGCACATTAGGAGAGAACCCCTGCTTAAAGGTCCTGATGAGAACCTTCTTCCCCTTGGCTGCAGGAAGGACATTTAAGATTGAATTGGGGACAGATATGCTGCAGGAGCAAAAGCTCCGAATTCAAGGATTGTGGGAAACACAGAGTTCACCAGCCCAGCTAGAGTAAGAAACCAAGTAATGGTTTCACAGATGTATTAGCGATGAGGAAGCTGAAGGCCTCTGAGGGTTTCTTACACCCTCACCATTCAATGTCTGGTACAGCCTAGAGAGGCTTTCCCTTGATTTCTCTGTCTGCTCTCTCTCTCTCTGGCCCGTCTACAGCCAGGAGTTCTGGCTGCTTTACCGACTTCCCTTCATGCAGGCCCAAGCGATGAAGGGACACTGAACCTTCCCTTCCTTCCATGAAAGAGTCTGAAAGAGTCATACCTTGGTTGACAGTGTTGATTTCTGGTTCTCTCCTACATTTGCCCCAAGGTGAGGTCACCCTCATTACTTTAAGATGTTTGGTTGCTTTTCCTCTTAGCAGACTGTTTTCATTTTCCTCCAGATGCACGGCAGAAATACAGTTCTCAGCTCTCTTGCATCCGGGTGATGTTATGTGACTTCTTTTGGTTGATAGAATTTAAGCCTAGACCATGACTTCACTTCCTGGCCGCAACAGGACACAAAGGACTCCAAGATGGCAGAGACCCGTAATGAAAGAGCCCAGATCCCCAGGAGCTAACCTCAAAGAGACCACTCAAAAGAGCTAGGAGACTCAAATCAGATGTGACATGAGCAAGAAACATACATCTGGTTATTAAGCCTCTTAGCTCTGGGAACTGTTTCAGAAAGTAATGAGCTCTGTGTCCATGTGACAGCTATTTAAGATTTTTTGGGTCTCACTCTCTTCACCTGCAAAGTGAAGAAAGCAATACCATACTTACCCCATGAGATTGTTGGGAAAAGCTCAGTTTACATTACACATAGACATGCTTTATAACCTGCATGGCATTACACAAATATGAAGTTCCATTAGGCTTCTTGTGTTCTCTAATTTAGTAAATAGTAATGCAGTGTTTACACAGCTGCTCAGGCCCAAACTCTTAGATTCATCCTTTTGTCTTGTCTTTCTCTCGCATGCATTCAATTTAACAGAAAGCCTTTTTGATTCTTCCTTCAGAAAGTGTCCTAAATCAGACTGCTTTCTACCACCTCAACTGCCACCACCCTAGTTGAGACGCCCATCATCTGTCACCTGAATTGGTGCCCTGGCTCTCAGCTGAACAGCTTGCCTCTATTCTTGCCTCATTAAATCTATTCTCCATATCTAACCAGAAAGGTTCTTCTAGAGCATAAATCAGATGATGCTCTTCCCCTGCTCCAGATCCTTTTCATGAATTCATCCTTAGGATAAAATCTAATCTTATTATGACCCATAAGGCTCTACCTGACCAGGGCATCTGAGCTCATTCCCTATCCTGTCACTTGCTGACAGCTATTCTTGAGCTGTTTGCTCTGCCCCTCATCTCTAGATGTCTAGACTCAAATGGTTCTTCCTCACCTACCCTATAGGTACGAGAGCAGTTCTCTTAAGCCAACAACTCATGAGCCCTTATGCTGCTTTATCCACGTTTCCTGATGATACTTGACATGGCACTGAACAGGATTGTTACATGTTGGCTGCCTCTTCAACTGGAATATAAGTTCTATGGGAACAGGGGCTTTGTTTGTTCAACCTTGTATCTCCTCCAGCACCTAGAAGAGGCCCTGGAGCATAGTATGTTCTTATTTTATGTATTCAGAAGGCATAAAACATGTCACATCTTCCTAATTCCCACTTCAGTAACTCTTTTTTGAGCTTCAGATGTGGTTGTTAGCTCTCTCTGAATGACTCTAGTATTTTGAAATATTTTCCTTTATGTATAGAATCCAAATATTACAATATGAATTTTTATAAATATATCATGTAAGTGTTTTTTTTAAAATAAGCTTTATTTTTTAGAGCAGGTCACAGCAAAATTGAGCAGTAAGTACAGAAATTCTCATGTGTTTTGTCCCTACACACATCCACAGCCTCCCCTGCTATCTATACCCTGTACCACAGTGTCCGTTATAGTCCATGAACCGACACTGGTACATCCTTATCGTCCAGAGTCCATAGGTTACATTAAGGTCACTCTTGGTGGCTTAGATTCTGTGGCTTTGGAAAATGTATAATGGCATATATCCACCATTATTGTATCATACAGAGTATTTTTACTGCCCTCCATGCTCCACCTATTCATCCCTCTTTTTAAGCCCAAGGTAATTACTGATGTGTATAATTTGTCTTATAGTTGGAATGAGTATATGACTGGTGTCATATGGTAAGAATCCTACAGCTTGTGGACTTTTCAGGTTAGTCTCCTTGACCTAGTAGTATGAATTTAAATTTCTTCCATGTCTTTCTACGGCTTGATAGCTCATTTCTTTTTAGCACTGAGTAATATTCCATTGTATGGATGTACCACAGTTTATTTATCCATTCATTATGTGATTGATTTTTGATGTAGATTTTATATCTATAAGGGGATGGAAGTATACATTATAATAATCCCATCCAGTTGCCTAAATCAAGCCCTGCAGGGAGAGGAGTTTCAGTGAACCCTAGTAAAAACCCCACTTAATTTGCCTATAATCCACACACTCAGATGTACCTCTGTATGTTGAGCACATTTTTCTTGTTTGTATTCACGTTGTATGTTAGCTTTGACAGCTCCTTGATAATATGTGTGTCTCATCCATGCACAAAATAAAAACACCACTGTACTGCCATACTTACCTTAATTGTGCTCTGTATCCATTCTGTATCTATTTCAACTTTCTTCTTAGGACGAACAACAACAGGATGACTTTTTTTTACTTCAGTCACAGCTGCCCTGATTTGTGGGGGTTGATTCCATAATTGAAATGTGAAAGTGGACGTATTTGTGGTTCTGGCATTGAGTAAGTCTGGTAGAGAAGAGAAAGAAAGTTTAGACCTATCTTTCTCAGGGCATCAAAGAGTTTGAGGTTTGAGATACTGGCTATATCCACCCTCCTCCCAATAATGAAAGCTGCCAGATAAGTAGAGCAAGCCTTTAGAGAGAAATGTAAGCACTGAATTCCACCTTTCTCATATTTTTGCATTCATTCATTCAGCATATATTTATCAAGGGCTTACAGTGCCAGCTCAGTGTTAGATGCCAGACACCCTGGTGAAGACCACATAGTCCAGACTTGGGGATGCCAGAGGTGATTTACCAGCCACATGCCAATAACAAGTGTGGCTGCTAATTCTGCCAATTTAAAAATAGGCGAAAGTGGAGAGTCATTTAAAAAAAAGAAACATACTTTAAACATGTTATTTTAACTTAAAAGGCAAATATGTATTAGCACGCCATTTTAAAATGTAGGGCAAAGTCTTTCCTTTGTGGATAGGTCTGATGACGGGCTCTGTGACGATTTTTGCCCAAAGCATGTTCATAATTTATTATCTATAATTTCAGTTTTGCTAGTTTCTAAATAGTCTGAACACAGAATTCCAGACTTTAAAAAAAATCCTATCTATTCCCCAGTATTCATTCATTCATTCATTCATTCATTCATTCATTCATTCATCAGAGACATAGAGAGAAGTAGGAACATAAGCAGAGAGAGAAGCAGGCTCCATGCAGGAAGCCCAATGCAGGACTCAGTCTCGGATCCCGGGATCATGCACTGAGCCGAAGGCAGACACTCAACCACTGAGCCACCCAGGTGTCCCTATTCCCCAATCTTTAATGTATGTTTTGTCTGCATCTAATTTAAAGTAGTTTTTAATTTTTTAAATTAAAAAATATTGTGCAGCCCTGGTGGCTCAGCGGTTTAGTGCCACCTTCAGCCCAGGGCCTGATCCTGGAGACCCAGGATAGAGTCCTGTGTTGGGCTCCCTGCGTGGAGCCTGCTTCTCCTTCTGCCTGTGTCTCTGCCTCACTCTCTCTCTCTCTGTGTCTCTCATGAATAAATATTTTAGTATATGTGCTGCCGAAGCGAGCACTCTCATGAATAAATAAATAAAATCTTAAAAAAAAAGAAATCATGTCTCTAAAAAAATAAATTAAAAAATATTTATTTTTTTTAAGATTTTATTTATTTATTCCTGAGAGACACACACAGAGAGAGGCAGAGACACAGGCAGAAGGAGAAGCAGGCTCCCTGTGGGGAGCCCGATGTGGGACTCGATCCCAGGACCCCAGGATCACAGCCTGAGCCTGTCCATGGGCATCAGAGAAGCAGGGGGAGCAGAGGGGCCAGAGCAGCCCAGTTCCCTAGGCAACTAACTAGGTCCTGGGGGAAGACAGTTAAGAGAGCTTACTTGTGGGCAGCCCTGGTGGCTCAACGGTTTAGCGCTGCCTTCAGCCCAGGGTTTGATGCTAGAGTCCCGGGATCAAGTCCCACATCGGGCTCCCTGCATAGAGCCTGCTTCTCCCTCTGCCTGTGTCTCTGCCTCTCTCTCTCTCTCTCTCTCTCTCTCTGTCTCTCAAGAATAAACACAATCTTTAAAAAAAGAGAGAGAGCTTACGGTCCCACCACCAGGGTCAACTCTGCGGGAGGAGGCTAATGGGAGCACGTGACCACTGGCTGACCTCTAGAGCCAGGCCATCAGAGGCTCCTAACCTGATCCCCTCCTTGGAAGGTACCCTCTGTCTGCCCACCATTCTCACAGCTGGAGCCATTTTCAAGGAGGCCACCCTGAGAGAGCCGGGTGTGGTTCAGACCACCTGAACAGCAGGCTGGGACTGAACCCAGCGCAGGCCTCTGTGCAAACTCTCAAGGTCCTTGCGGGTGGGCATGAACATCGACTTGTGTCTCGGCTGCTGAAGACGAGCCTCCTAAGTTCCCTGGCTTCTGGGGACGGCCACCTACCAGTCTGGAGTGGCTTTTCTGGAGTGTCTCCTTGTCCCCCAGCTTCTAATTTCACTTGGGGAACTCCCAAGTTTGGGAACAACCACACTGGGGCCAGGACAGCTCCCAGAAGGGACCTGAGCCAGCCCAGAGGCTGAGGCAACATCTGGGGAAGTGAAGCTTCCACCTGGTAGGGGGTGTGCCCGGCATAAGCTCTGTACAGGTGAAGGCCACAGTGAGGCCGGGTCAGAGGTGATGGGTGACGCCTCAGATGAGGGCCAGAGTGTTCCCTCATTCCCTCATTTAGTAAAGATGGAATGTGGATGTGGGTGCCGAGAAGTGTCCTAGGTATCCGGGATTGCTGTAGTCTCTGCTCTCCATTCTAGTAGAGGAATGCTGAACAAGTAGACAGACACAACATAACATGCCAAGTGGCCAGCAGTGCTTCCAAAAAAGTTAAGCAGGGTGAGAAAGGTCTACCCTGTGTGTGTGTGTATGTGCATGTGGGTGTAGGTGCACTGACTTATACAAGGTAGCCAAGGAAACTATTTCTGAGAAAGTGACAGTTAAGCAGAGACCTGAGTAAAGTGAGGGACTGAGCCACAGGGATATTGGAGCAAAGAGTGCTCTAGGCAGAGGAATAGCAAGGGCGAAGGCCCTGTGGCAAGGAATGCCTGGCCCGTTCCATGAGGAGCAAAAAAAGCCAGTGTATCTGGAAAGGGAAAAGTGAGGACCTTCTAAGCCACGTGAGGGCTCTGGGCATTTTCCTGGAGGCAAGGGAGGGGCAGTGAGGAGTTTTAAAAAGATTGTTCTGGAAACAATGTGAAGGAAGGACTGAGAGAGGAGAAGAAGGAAGTCAGGGAGACTAGGGATAGCTGCTTCTAGGGGAGAGATGAAGGCACCTGAGGAAAGGTCAGTGAGAATGGGGAGGAGGGTTGGGAGGTGGGAAAAGGAGACTCTAGAACCACAGCATGTCTGAGGGACGAAAGAGGCCATGGAGTCGAGCTCAGAGAGGAAGCTATTCCTCAGGAAAATGAGACAGAGGTGGCAGGGCAGGGTCAGTGGGAGACCTGAGTGGGCGGTTTGGGAGTGGTCTCGGTCTCTGTGAGGAGCACTTCCAGCCCCAGTGCCTGCTTACAGATGATGTTGATTTGTTAGAGGGAAGAAGCTGGAGTGAGCCTGGCCACCGTCCCCGAGTATCAATTAGAAATTAATAGAAAACCTTCCTGAAAAGGTAGAGATAAAAGAGGACATTTATATGCCCATGTCGTTTCCCTGTCAGAATGCTCAAATCCTGGACACTCGGGTCTGTGCTGTACTTTCAGCACTGCCATGACAAGGGTGAGGCTCTAGGTCACCTTTCTGAGCCTCGCTGTCCTTAAAATGGGGTCATGCTCATGCTGTGGATAGAGACCTTCGGGGTTACTGTGAATAGTGCCTGCACAGCGCCGGGCGCCCCATAGAGGGGCCATACCTCTGTGGCCTTCTTGCAGGGAGCTTTGAGTTTTGATGGCTCATGATTCAGGCTACGCAGTGTTCTCCTGCCTCTTCCCCCAGCCTAGATGGTTCTCAACAGGAAAGGCTACATAATTTGAGGGGCCCCGTGCAGAATGAAAATGCATGGCTCCTTATTCTAAAATTATTAAGGATTTCAAGACAGTGACAGCAGCAGAGCATTAAACCAAGCACAGGGCCTACGTATGGAGCCCTGTGTGCCTGACTGTGGGTCCTCCGCCCATGCAGGATGCCTGGGCTCGGAAATCCGGAGCCTGCAGAGACGTGGGGTTGTGTGCCTGGAATAAGGAATGGTCTGCGTACTGGAGGGAAATGAGTTTGTATCTTAAAAGAGGCTGGGAGATTCTTTTGGGGACTGGTTACAGCCAGAACATGGAGTTGCCTTTTATTTATATGAAATGTTGCTTCTTTGTAGAAAAAGCTCAAACCTTCTAGGCTTCAGTTGTCCAAAGGGGCCAGGGAGCGGGCAGAGGTGGTGGTAAAACAGAACGGGGATCCGGCCATATCAGATCTCATTTTCCAATTGGAAGTCCTACCCTGGGTGTGTGACGGTAGAGTATCCTGGGAGGCCTTAATTCCCAAAGGAGCAAAATAAGTCGTGCATGCCTATCTCCATTAAACAAAACGCTTATTGAGTACCTATTGTGTACCTTGCTGAGATGCCACGGGATGGAAGACACAGGTGTCTACAGCCCTGAGGGAACAGAACTCTGAACAGTAGTAGGCATAGTGGAATAGATTGTTTGTTGTGTTTTGGCAGCTGAGCATCTGAACCCCGCCTCCTTGTTTTAGGGAGCACCCCACTGTGTGAGTCTTGGTGGGAGATAGGGCCTTCTCACTATCAAAACCGAAGGCAGTCTTTCCTTCCTCTCCTTGCCTCCTAACTCCAGTGAGGACATGACACCTAGGCTTAGAAGGCCCCCACTTTTTCTTCTGTAGACACACTAGCCTTTTGTTCATTGAACACGCCAAAGGGATGAGCCCAGGGTCTGGCCTGAGAGATCTTGGGCAGAATGTGGCTGGTGCCCACACAATGGCTGGGTGATCTCAGGCAAGTCTCCTAGCCTCCCTGAGCTGTAGCTTCTTTATCCTGCTTCACGTGGTTACAAAGATGCATTTGAATCAGATAGAGTATGTGAAAGTACCTAGTCCATAGCAATTATTCTCGAAGAGTTAGGTCAAGGGCATATGTCAGTATTGGGGGATTGGAACATGGTCTTGGGAAGGACTAAGGCTCAAGAAGAAGCACCAGGACTTGTTAGCTATGTCTGCCATGGGTACTTTTGCCATATCTGTGTTAGCTGGATCTAGTAATCTGAAAGGTGTGTGGTGGCTTTGTGTTTCTGAATGAAGTGGCCTCAATGGCTTTAGACTCTTGGCCCAAGTTTTCCATGATTAGACTTAAAAACACTGGCAACCCCCTTCATTGGCAAATCTTACCAGCTGGACCGCAGATGACTTCAGTATCTGGTAAAGGGGCCAACTCTTTCCCAAACTTTGTGTTAATAATCTAGGTAGCCCCTCAGATCTAGGTTAGTTCCCTTCCTATGGGGCTCCATAGCCTCCTCTTCCTGCCGTAGCACTTAACCCTTCCATACGTGAAGCCTCTGCTTGCTTATTTCCCCTCACCCATGCTCCTCAAAAAGGGTAAGGCGGCCCCAGTTTGTGTCCATCTTGCTTGGTATTTTATCCCTGGCAGCTAGGACCTTGCTTGCTCATAAGTGCTCAAGCTATGCAAGGAACATTTACGCCTCCCTTAGGGTATAGGGCATCTCCAGATGCCCACTGGAGAGCCCATCAAAGGATGCAAAATGGGAGAACGGTCCTTACGTTCACGTTTCTTCATAATCCAGAGGATCGTTTCCCTGTAGTTTCCAAAATTTTTCTTCAACCTAAAAGGAATGCAAATTACCTTTAAAAGCTGGGACTGACTCATGTTTATAGGTCATGCTACATGGTGTAGACAGTGCTAGAGCCTGCTGGGTGTTTCTCATAGTTGAAAAATCAGACCCCTGGCTCTGTGTTTGGAATCTGTTCTCCTTCCAGTAGGTACTCAGCAATAAAGGGGCAGCACATGGTATTGACTCAGTGTTTGCTTCCTGGACTCCAAGCTGACACCTAAAGCCTTCAGAATGAATTCAACAAGGGTCATCTTGGGAGCTAGGGCAGGGCTGGGAGGTCCAAATGCAAGTCTGGTTCGATGAGCTAAGCTCGCGCAGCTTGACCTTTCTATGGCTTGAGCATATCCCAGTGAAGGTTACATCTGGAAGTAGCTGTGAGGAACAGCACCGTCGGTGACCTGGACAGAGTCACTCAAAGCCCGTCTACATTTAGTGGAAACATTTCCAATAATCTCATTCAAAATGACTTATCATGAAAGCCACACTGAAGTACAGCTCTTCAAAATGATCAAGCCCTTACCCCCTTTGCATGTCAATATATAAGGAGAGTCATGTTGGGGCCTTGATGGCTTGGGCTATTTTACTTGCAAATAAGAGCGGTCTCCAGGGACCATTGTGCTTTCTGGTTCTCAGATCACAGCTTATTTAAAAGGGGATATGCTGGAAGGAGTGAGTTTCCCAGGCTTAATTGGATTTGAGAAGAAGGCCTTTAGACAGGGCAGATTTTAAGTTCTCCGTTCAGATTCCTTGAGGAGAGTAGAATAAGTTAACCCCAAGTCACTCCAGAAAGCAAATACCTTTTGCTGGGAAGGGCTGAGCTGTTTTCCCTGTCAGGGAGTAGGTTTACTGTTTGCACTTTAGAAGCATGGTGGAACTCAATTGAGAACAGAGCTCTTTATGGCCCATTTGTATCAAATGTTGTTTATCTACAGGCACTTTGAATGGAATTAAAGCAGTTATCTAGTCTGCCATCATTTGTGAAAGAGTAAGGACTGAATTAGTGGTGGGGTGAAGCCTAACCTGCAGGTTGACAGCAGGATGCAGGGAGATGCAAGAGTTAAATTCCAGTGAAGGGACCCAGCCAGAAGGACCCAAAGCCCTTTTCGAAAGGTTCCTCTTTTTGCCTTTTGCCAACCTTTGCAAGTTGGTGGAATCCTTGCCAACTAGTTCCCTCAATGGAGGAGACTCTGAGATACACACTATTCTATTGATCAGCACATAGTAGATGCTCAGGAAATATTTGTTGAGTGCTGTCAGATTAGATCCCTTCCTATGGGGCTCCATAGGCTTCAATGGGATGGTCATAGGCCTCAATGGGATGGAATGGGTGGGGGAAATGTTACGTGTGAGGCCAGATAACTTACAGGGAAGTTACTTTGCATTTGTTTTTGTAGCTGTATAAGGATCTGAAAGCTTGGGTAGTCTCTGTGTTTTGTTTTGTGTATTTTGCCTTCTTCTTTCCTAGAGAAGCCTCAGGGATCTCTGGCTCCAGGACTCTGCTCAGCCCAAAGCAGAAGTTGCTGGCAGTCAACCTCTCTTCTTGGTTTTTGTGAAAGCTTCAACTCATCAAGAAGGTTATGCAGGGCACCCTGTGCCATTAGCCTGTTTCTTGGTGCCATTGTCAGAGTCTGCAATAGACGTTTAGGAGGCCTTAACATGCTTGCTAAGGTTTCTGGTAGTTGAATACATGAAAATCCAGGTTTCCATACATCACAGACTAGATGTACAAATGGAGTTCGGGAGCATTTTGTGACCTGGGACCATGACAGATGTGGTGCCAGCAAGTCTGCAGTAACCACTGTTACTGTAACCAGTGTTCCCCACTTCAAATGGGGATTCTGGCCATGACTCTCAGGTCAGTGCAGCTCATGGCTTTTCCCACTCCAGGGAGTGTGGAGGAACATTAGCCTATGTTGAAGCTAAGGAGTTTTTTGGCAGATGCCTAGGATCTTAATCCCCCATTATCCCCTCTCTTAAAAGATTAGGGCTCTGAGCCTTGCCCCCCAGACTTCTGTAGAAGCTCATGGTCCCTCTAAGACTTTTCCTGCCCTGGATTTCCAGCCTCTGTCACAGCTAGCCTTTGATACTATCCTGAAACTCTGTGCATGTACATTTCCTTGCTCTTGACTTTTGGCAGCCAGATCATTCTGTTCACCTGCCCCCTGAGCTTGCCTTTGCTCATGTGCCTGCCCTTTGACTCAGGGGACCTGCCTGGCCCTGGCCTTGCTCTTTTCTCTCTGGTGGCCCCACTTAGATTTCTCTGCTACTGCTGGCCTACCTGAACCCACTGACCAATAGCTTGATCTTTCCAGTCACTTACAGAATTCCTAGTTTCCTTCTGGTTTCACTCTCCAGAATCCCGGTCAGGGGGACATCAATATCCTCTTCCAGTTCTTTGCGAGCAGCCATTTCTTTGAGCATCGTCCTAAACACTGCCTGATAAGAACTGCTGAAAGGCTACAAAAGGAACAAAATGAAATACTCAGAAAAAGGGAATTAGTGGCTTACCAATTAAGTACTTTGCTGACTCTCAAAGGTGCCAGGTGAGATTTCAACATGCTATTAGAAAAACACAAACAGTGGGAATAATAGGGTGGCTAGCAAGAGTTATTTTAAAGAATATTTCCATTGTCTTCATACTCCTCACTCCACAGTATGCACAAGGTTTGTTTGTTTTTTAACAGCAGTATGCCAAGAAATCTTTTCAGAGCATAAAACTACCCCTTTTCCAAATGTGGAGATGGTTATAGAACATAAAAATGCTTCCATGATTTAAGAGCATAACAGGCTTTCTGAGTTGCAGAAATGGCCAATGGCAGGACAGTTGCTTATTTCATGGTTGTTTCATTGTGAAGGAAGGCAGTCTACAGGAAAACAGGGTAGCACCTAGCGTGTTATAGAAGTGGACAATTCTGTGTTTAGAGATTCTTCCAGAGTAATGATGTTGTAAGCTGCCTTTTTATTTTGTAAAATTGTGCATTCTATCCCAAGTCTATGATACTAATAACCAGGACTGACTCATAGGTGGGTTCTCATGGGAGTTTCTCTTCTGGATCCCTTTGGACAGAAGGTGAAATTTGGCTTGATGTAAAACAAAACAAACCATGGAGCTTTCATGTTGCTCTGCTCACCTACAAGTTGAAGTTGTTATGGTTGTTATGGTGGTTGTTCAACAGCTGATCATGTATAGTATGCCATTAACTTATATGCCAGTGGAAGGCTGGCATATCCAAAGTTGCATGTGAGCTGGGACAAATATAAGAAAACGGCTTGTATTTGGCTGGATTTTCTAGGTTGGGGGACAAGCTGGGTTGCCTCCTGTCTGGCTTGCCCAATTCCCAGCTGCTGCACACTGGTGTTAATTAAATGAGCAGGCTATTACATGGAGGTGGCTCTAACGTGGTGGGGCCTTGGTAAGCACACCAAAATCTAAGCCTATAAATGCCTCCTCATTATGAATCAAAACCTAGGGACAACCAATCATAAGCAGCCAATTAGGCTTTAAGTGATGGCCAATCAAAAACTGCCTTGCTGTGCTTTTATTTATAAAAGCCTCTCCCCAGCTCCTGCCAGTAGAGCGCCCCTTAATCACTTCTGGTTGGTAATGCACAATTCAAATCAATATATGCTCAAACTCTTAAAATGTTTTGTATGCCTTAGTTTATCTTTTAACACTGGATTCAGAGCTTCAGAGCAGGTTGAGGTTAAGGCTCATGGTACCAATATGTCTGCCTCTAAATTTCTTTTTTTTTTTCTTTTTTAAAGATTTTATTTATTTGTTCATGGGAGACACACAGAGGCAGAGACATGGGCAGAGGGAGCCTGATGCAGGACTGGAATCCCCAGAACCCCGGGATCACGCCCTGAGCCGAAGGCAGATGCTTAATCACTGAGCCACCCAGGCGTCCCTCTAAATTTCTCATTGTTGACAGTTCTTCCCTTGGGGTGGAGAGACTTTCTGTTTAGGCCAGTGATCTCTCGCCATCTCCTTTGTATTCTAAGCTTTGTTCACCAGAAGATACGGTGTTCACTGAGGTCCACCAGACAACAGACCCCTTGGATGGGCCTCATTGAAGTTCTCGTCCCATCTAGGCTGTGCCACCCCACTGGATTTAGCCAGCACCCATAACATCTTTGAGGTTTGTCCCATTTGCTTCCCCTGCCTGTAGAGTAGAACTATCCTCCTCACCATAGTAGGTGTACTGAGTACACCAGTGATGAGTTTGCCATGCCCAAGACTTCTCCTGGGTGAATCTCTGGTTTTTACAACCAAAAGCATTTGCACAGCAATGTTTGTGATGCATGGGATGCCATGGAGATAAAACAAGCATGTATAGTGAACAAGCATGTATAGCAAAGGAGTTGAATTGTCAGAAGAACCAAAGTATAGGTTGATAGCTCCTATCCAAATAGAAGGACTTAGCTCCCTCCCTTTAGTTTGTAACCTGTTGGTTTCTGGTATTCCCCCCAAAAGGACTTCCGAAGTCCATGCAAACAAGTCTTTCAGCTGCAGGTACCATGTGGCATTTACTTAATTCTTTCTGTCCTGCTCTGACCCTGCTTGTCCACATCTGCCACCTATGGGTTGCTCAAAGTACTGCTTTCCAAGCTGTACAGCTGCCTATCGTGAGAATGCCAGCATCTAGGCAGGGGACTGTGTAGCCCACTTGTCACATGGAACCCTGGCAGTGTGCTGTGCACCAACCACACGGGTGCTGTCTCCCCTCTGCCTGTGACTGCAGCTCTGTCCAGCACAGTGAACCTCAGCTGACAGGCTGATGGGTTCTGAATAATTTAAGTTTCTAATTAAAACAATTCCTTTAGATTTCAGCTCTTGCTGAAAAGTCTTTCTAAAACGCCTGAGCTTACTTTCCTGTCTTAGTAAATTCAATGAGGTGATTTTGAGTTCCAGAAATTGTTTTTCTCTCTTCAATGTGATTTTTCAGTATTTGAAAAGCAATTCTTATTAGTATTATGTCTACAGAAGCAAGTGTGGACAGGAAGAAATTTAGGGCTAAATATGAACTGAGACCAGAAAATTTCCTGATTTAACAATTAAAAAAAACCCCAAATACCTATTTTTTGAAAAGGTTTTTTTCTATTGTAAATTTAGAAAAAATATATCTGCTTAATTTTGAGTTCCAGGGACACAAGATTTCACTCTTGTGATTGTAGTTAGTACCTAGAATTCTGAGAAAGTTTCTTAGCTTTAATGGAAACGTTATATACTAATCTTTCTACCTATATCAACATATAAGTCTTAATGTAAGCTGACACAGGAAGTTAGAGCTACCAGGCTATAGCAGCGGTAAAATACTCATGCAGGAAAGACCATGTAACATACTGTGACTTCCCATCTCCTCTCAGGTTTTGGGGTCCAGCCAGGGAAAGAACATCCAGTGATGCTCAGGGCTGGTTCTGTGCCCCTCTGCAGGTGGTGGCAGCAAGATGACAGATCTGGGGAGGGTCATCTGCTGCTAGTTGCTTGGTGTTTGCATGGCAGAGGCTGTTGACTAAAGTGTTTGTCTTGGGGTACCTAGGTGGCTGAGTCAGTCTGGTGTCTGCCTTTCCCTCAGGTCAGGATCCCAGGGTTTTGGGATCAAGCTCCAGGCCCAGCTCCCTGCTTCATGGGGATTCAGCTTCTCCCTCTCCCCCTGCTTTGTGCTTGCTCTCCATTTCTGTTAAATAAAAAATAATAATAATAAAGTGTCTGTCTTGCCAGGCTGCCCCAGCCCCATTCCTGGTTTTTTGGTTAGAGATAGCAAGCGTTTCTTGGGGCTTTGTGCTTGTTGGGGTTTCTGAGTTGTCTTTCAGCACTTCATCACCAGGGATATATGAAGCAAAATGAAAACTCTGGGAACTAACCACCCTGTCATTCCTTGGGTCCTGAGGTTATTAGCCAGTCTGACTTCTGTCCACCTTTAAGAAGTTTCTTCCAAAAAAAAAAAAAAGTTTCTTCCATTTGTCTTACATATAACGTCTAGGGTTTTAAGCTGTACTAAGTGGGAAGAGTACATCTAGTCCATCTTTCTAGAATTTAATTTCATTTTTATTGAGGGTTTCTACAAAGACTGATTTGCCTTGATATCTAGATAAATTAAATATTTTGTGCTTTGCTGCCTTCAAAAGTCATCTGGAGGGTGTTTATATTACCAGCAGGGCTCTGAAAGTAGGGCCGTGGAATGCTACATTTGGCTTTCTTCTGACCCACTTTGATTTAATATGTGTCATTTAAACTTACTTCTGTTTTAAGAAAAACTCCCTTGGGCTGGGCTAATAATGGAGTGAAGTTATGAGTCCCTGCACTCTAGAGGCAGCTCCTGGATGGCTTTGGGCCGCCCTGCTTGAACATTTGGAGGAACATGGTCTTGAGTTTTTGACTTACCTTGTCATCTAAGCCCTCAGCTTCCAGTGAGTCAATGGGCTCATTTAATAAATCGTCCCAAAAGCTCTCTTTAGTAACAAAATCCAAGACTTTTGATTTTGGAAGGCACAGCAGAAGGAAAGGCATTTGGAAAAAAGAACCATAACAAGAAACAGAAAAAGAAAACCAAAAGGAAATAGTTATGGCATTTATCCTTGATGATTTAAATAAAAAATGCATGCATGATTGGTAAGACTTGAAGTAAATTCACCAAATTACCCAAAATTCAACTTTGAGATATTAATAAGACAGGAATAAAAGGGTCCTGTTTCAGTGGCTGACTTGAGAAAAAGTGTGTTCCTGATGGATGGCAAAGGTTCATTTGACGAAGTGACATTTGAGTGGGTCCTGAATAAAGCAAAGCAATGAGCAAGTGGGAAGATATCTGGGAAAGAACATTCCTGACGGGGTGAGGAGGTGCAAAGGCTGGTGGTGACAGTGGATGAGAGTGTGGTTGATACAATCGACAAACAGTATGCCTGGAAAGGCGTGAGTATGGAAGGTAGCAGGAGTGGCAATGAAGTGGGGTACAGGGCCAGCTCACAGAGCACATTGTAGGTTGTGGGAAGGAGTTTTGGTTTTATTTTGGGAGAGATCTATTCTGAATGTGATTTTTCTCTCGGAAAGCCTGAGAAATATTTCTATCTCTTGCCAGTTTTGTAAAAAATTGCCGATTTCTATACTTGCATATGATTCATAATTGCAAATTAAAGCATAATACATGTATTCTCAAGCCAGTGAGTTCATAAAAAGTCCTGAGAGCAAATGCCTTTGTTCTCAAGGTGAGCTACAGCCTGATGACTCTGGGCCGGGAGAGGGGCTTGGAGCCTTCAGTGTTGACGGGGTGCAAATTGAATCGAGGAATTGATAATTACAACTTGGGCCCCATCTCCTGCTCTCGGGAAGGTGTGACTCTTGAGGTGAGAGCTCAGAGGATGGGGTCTCACATGGTAATTGGGCCCCTGGGGAAATTTCTGCAGCCTGTTGTCTCAGCTTCAGGATGACAGCAGCCCCTTCAAGCTGGACCATCCAGAGAGCCCTTGAAAATCCACCAGGTTGGTGCAGGGCTAACTTATTCTGTCTGATTTTGTGTCTCTGGGGGTTGGAGAAGAGACATTCTTCGTGATCTCTGTACATGTTAACTTTGCACTTCTTCCCAATTTTGGTTCAGTAATAAAAAACTCTGTTGACAACACCACTCAGCTGGATCTGCCTTTACCCACACGGGGCTCAAGGGCCCTTCTGCCTGCAGACCCCCTACCCCAGCTTCAGTTATTTCTCACAGAAACCTGACACATCTGTGGTAGAGCCTGTGCTGGGAGAATTCGCAGCAATTCGTTCTGCTAGTTCTCGCGTCCACACTGGAATACTCAGAACTGACAAGGCTCCGGGGCCCTTTTCAGCTCGATTCCAAAAAACACTGTGTGTCCCCAGACTGCCTGCCATGGAAACGGCTGAGAAACGTTTTGAAAAATCATTCAGGAATTCATTCGACAAGAATCCATGGGAATTCCAGCAAGCTCCTAGGAGGAAGCTCCTTTGTGGTTGTCACTGGAGAGGAGAGGGAGGATACTGGGAGAACGGGTCTGGACGGACTGATCGGCAGCATCTTCCCATGTAAGATTCTCTGAGTTCGTCCCTGCCCTAGATGGAGAACAAGAGTCTGGCTCTGGCCCTAAGAGCTTAGCAAATCCCCATAATTTGTGATTACCGGATTTTAATAGGCTTTATTGAATAATACATAGTTAATTTAAGGGAAACAAAACTAGATGTTTATCAAGGGAAGCAGGTGACGCGGCAGTCCTGAATCCTGAATAGCCACCGTTCAGAAGTGTTCGATTCAACGTAATAAATAACCTTATTAACATCAATGGGCACTGTCTACATGTCCAGACAAGCACAGGAAATACGCAGTAAGAGCTGTAACTGGGGCTGAATGAGAAGGAAAAGCTTTCTGCCTAATTAACTTTTCCTTTGGGGATTTCTGTCACCTCTACCTTTGTTCTAGTGAGATCATTATCTTCCCCTGAAGTGCCTCTGTGGGAGGGTTTGTGCAGGCGGTGGGGGGAAGCTGCAGGCCTTTGAGTGGTGGCCACTTGCAGCCTGTTACGCAGCCCCTTGGCTCTCTGGTCTCATCTGTGTAATGGGAACGATAAGACTCGTCTTCTGGGTGGCGGACCAGAGTGCTACTCTAAGTAAATGCCATTAGGATTCCCTAATGTAGAGTGTGTCTTCTCTGGATCTGATCAGGAACCAATCTTAATTTTTCTCTAACCAATCAGTTCCTCTCCTCTGATGGTTTTTCCTGATTTCAACATGTGTGTTTCATACCTGTGTGTATGAGACTCAATCCTCCCCTCTGCCCCCACCATGTTGAAAGACAAGAGATCATAGTCCCTAAATTGTTTTCTGATAGGAAGGGCCTGGTTAATTGTGGGGCTTTTGTTTTATGGAGTGGTAGGTATAAGAAGAGATTCTAACCACCGTCGGGATTCTCACCTGTCTCTCCTCTTCAGAGGGTTCAGCCAACCCCTCCTTAATAAAGAATTAAGTCTTTAAAGGTACCAGTTGTAGGGCCTCCAATTTATTCCCTACCAAGGTGCCATGATCAGTCTACTTGGAGGGGCCCATGCGTCCCAGTTGTGCTCTGCTGCCCAGACCTCAGGTAGCCCAGCAACTGACTGGACCTTCTGAAACGTGGGGGTCTCTATACCAGAGCTCTTGAGTACAGAGAAGGACTTCTGGCCCAGGTCATTCTGTCTTGCTCCAAAGACTCTCTATTATCCTATCCTTCTTCAGGAAGGGACAGGGAAACCCATTCAAGTTCAGGAGCTGTGTGCCCAGCATGTCCCCAAGTCCTAGCAAAGAGTTGGTGGAAGCTGGACCAGCAAGGGACCCATCCTTCCGGGGCAACTACCCCCAGCCCAGGTCATTCCACAGGGAACAGGGATCTTCAGATATATTAGGTTGAGTGCTTACCATTTTCTTCCTCGTGAGATGTGTCAGGGATAGCATACACTGAAAAATAATAGGAGCAATTATTTTTTTTAATATATTTTTTTAAATTTTATTTATTTATGATAGTCACAGAGAGAGAGAGAGAGAGAGGCAGAGACACAGGCAGAGGGAGAAGCAGGCTCCATGCACCGGGAGCCCGACGTGGGATTCGATCCCGGGTCTCCAGGATCACGCCCTGGGCCAAAGGCAGGCGCCAAACCGCTGCGCCACCCAGGGATCCCCAGGAGCAATTATTAATAGGCTGTGTGGTATGGTGAACTTATCTGGACCTTTTGGTCCCTGAGGGAATCAATTTAAAAAGCATCTCCTAAACAGCTGGGTGAGATCATGTGTTTTGGGATACGTGGATTCCATCATCTTCAGCAGTTTGAGGCCTGTTGCTTACGCTCAACAAATACTGATTTCCCTCCCTCTGTTCATATTTCATCTTGCACATTAGAATTTAAGTTCTGAGAAGGTGTGATTTTTTTTTTAACTTGAGCTCCCGGAGGAACAGGTGTACAACATAGTGATTCAACAACTCTCTATATTCTGCTGTGCTCACCACAAGCATGGCTACCATCTGTCAGAGGGTATGATGGTTTCGTTCATCTTACATCCTGCCTAGTATGCAGTAGGTATATAATAAATATTGGTAGTGTCATGGAATAAACTGAGTATGGGTAACCTATTATCTTTCCTTCTAATTCCAGTGGTAAATACTGTTTCCTCCCTATTCAAAATTCAATTTTAATTCAGATTTAAAAACACTTGCTCTTTGGGTCAGTTTCTTCCCTGAACCCTAAGCCTTTAGCCCTTGAAATAATGCCTTGGCCTCAGGCCTTAATTGAAATTAGTTTAGTTTAAAGGGGTTAAAAGAGGTCTCTCTTTGGTTGGGGGCATGCTAATTCTGTTTTTCTTACCTTCTCATGGATGGATCTGTACCTCCTATAAGTCATTTAAAATCATCATAAAATAAAATTTAGATACCTTCTGAACCTGACTTTAAAGAAGATAGAGAGATTCTTGAGATTTCTTGTGCTTTCAGTCTTGATTTTGTAGGTGCTGTTAAAAGACAGAAGGTGGCCATTTAACAATTTTATTTAACCTCCTATTTCCCAGGGAGTTCATATCATTTAGGGCCTGAGGTTCTTCCTTGGTACCCAACCAAGGCTGATCAACAGAGGGGAAGTGCACTTTGGAGGGCACTATGGCCATATATTAGATGTGTCCCCTGCCTCCCCGATTCTTCTTTAGTTTTGCTGACTTATTCCAAGACTGCAGTAAACCAGAGGTTGGGAGATGTAGCCCCTCTCTGGCCATCTCCTCCACTCACCATGGGCCAGTTGGTGGATAGAGGATAGAGAGAATGGCTGGGGCTTGGTTGAGGGCGGTGGGTAGGGGGGAGGCAGATTTTAGAGCTCCAAGTAGCTCCCAGGCCACATGGAGACGTTTATGGGGTATGCTCAACTCTATAGGAAGTGGGCATGTCTGCTCTTTTGTTGCTCAATGCAAAGTGTTCGGTGGTTGCTGGCTGGGAAACAAGGGGCTATCTAGCATAGATCTGCTAAGATACACCAGTGGGAAGCCACTGTATTTTTTGAGAACCTTTGTTTTAAGTTCATGGTTACCATTATTTTGTCTTCTGCAGTTTGGTAGTCCCTATTCCTTTCTGTACCTTCACCCACCTCTCCCTCTTCCTGTCCCTAAACACATGTGCACACATGGCGTATGTACCCACACACACCCTAGATATACTAATCTTGATAGCAGAGTGGCAGACCAGTGAGGAAACAGCAGAGGCAAACTGCTCCATCCACTCCTAGGGGTGGCAGGACTCAAGCCTGGTCTGAGGTGCCTCGATGAGAAGCTTCCAGCACACAGGCAGTGTCAGGGCCCGCTAGTTCTTTTTTTTTTTTTCTTTTTAGATTTTATTTATTCGAGAGAGAGAGAGAGAGAGAGAGAGAGAGAGGCAGAGACACAGGCAGAGGGAGAAGCAGGCTCCATGAAGGGAGCCCAATGTGGGACTTGATCCCAGAACTCCAGAATCATG